TTTGTGTATAAAATACTTGTAATTTTTGCTGAAAGCTAGCAAAATTTCATGAAGATATATGAAACATGTTAAAAAGGGTAGTATGGAAATTGTTGGTTACTCGGGTTCATGAACTTAGTGGAATCGACAGAGCAAGAGAGTTAATACAGTATTTTAAAGTTTTGTCCAGTTTAGATGAAAAATATTAGCACCTAAGTTTTAACTACAGAATTATTTTAACTACTGATTTAAATGTTATCAGTCATTAGTGAAACATAGTGTTACAGGAAGCTGAACTCCATTTTCAGATGTGTTACTCATTTTTAAACATTTTTGTCCCAACATGCTAAAGAACTGTCTAGAATCTTGTTATTTTGTAGGTTGTCCCCAGTATGACTTTTTTCAAGGATATGAACTGAATCCCCGTTTAGGCAAGATGTTTGACTTCAAGCTCTTCTTGATGCATGTTGGACTGATAGGCTGGGTATGATAAAAATTTTAGCTTGATAAAGATATCTATTATAAAAAATCTTTAGAAGGAAATTTTTCAACATTATTAGTTTGTGTTAAAAAACAAACTTTGATTTGGAAAAGAAAATGGTGTAGTTGTTAGTGTATTTTAAATATTGAAAGATGAAACAACATATATTTCAATGACGTGTTCAAATGAATCCCCTGAAATGTTTTCTTCATTTAAAGGTATAGTACATGAAAACTTCCAATTAAAGGACTAGAATGTGCTTGTTAAAAATATTTAAATTTAGCTTAAGATTTATTTTTTTACATCTTTATTCAAGTTTTCCACAAAACTTGTGTAATGTTAAGTTGAGATAATATGGATTAATTTTTTAACTCTGAAGACAACAGCATATCTTGTAACATGGAACCATTCAGTGGATATTTGGTACTGTGTGTATGAGACAGCAGTTTATCTATCTGTGTAACACAGAACCATTCAGTGAATGTTTAGTACTGTGTGTACAAGACAACAGATTATCTATCTGTGTAACACAGAACCATTCAGTGAATGTTCAATACTGTGTGTATGAGACAACAGATTATCTATCTGTGTAACACAGAACCATTCAGTGAATGTTTAGTACTGTGTGTACGAGACAACAGATTATCTATCTGTGTAACACTGAACCATTCAGTGAATGTTCAGTACCGTGTGTACGAGACAACAGATTATCTATCTGTGTAACACAGAACCATTCAATGAATGTTCAGTACTGTGTGTATGAGACAACAGATTATCGATCTATGTAACACAGAACCATTCAGTGAATGTTTAGTATTGTGTGTACGAGACAACAGATTATCTATCTGTGTAACACAGAACCATTCAGTGAATGTTTAGTACTGTGTGTACGAGACAACAGATTATCTATCTGTGTAACACTGAACCATTCAGTGAATGTTTAGTACTGTGTGTATGAGACAACAGATTATCTATCTGTGTAACAAAGAACCATTCAGTGAATGTTTAGTATTGTGTGTATGAGACAACAGATTATCTATCTATGTAACACAGAACCATTCAGTGAATGTTTAGTACTGTGTGTATGAGACAACAAATTATCTATCTGTGTAACACAGAACCATTCAGTAGATGTTTAGTACAGTATGTATAGGATAACATTATCCAGAATGATGACATGTTCAAGGGAAAATTGTTTATATTCATGTGTATTTTCTTTTCTTCAGGCTTCAGTGGATTTGTGTCTGTTGTACCAGAGTTATGAAGAGATCAAGCATCTTAACTATCCTATCTTTTTCACAGTTTCCTGCCACTTTATCTTCATCTTGCTGAACCTTTGGCATGCGGTAAGTGTGTATAAAGCCATGTTCATAGACATTGAAGTGTTTATGTAATAGCTACTGTGGTTGTACATTGTATACTGTAGTTGTTTCCTAATTAAGTCTTAGTTTGACTCATAATATCTGAGTTAAATTAACCAATAATGTTGTCATTACTTTAATGTAGCTGTTTTCATTGGTTGTCTTACATCATTGATTTATCCTTGTATTGTTTATTAGTTGTGCAGTTGAGATATGTTGCTTGTTATATTATTCACTGTTGTACAATTGTGGTTTTATGCCGATGACATCTTACTGTACCATTCTTGTTGCTTGTTGTTGAACTGGTAATATACTGGATTTTTTCATTAACCCTACATATGCGAACTTGGACCCATTGGACTAAGCCTGTACTAGAGAATTAATGATTACTATAAATCCAATATTACATTTGACAGTCTTTTAGTGGATGTGAAAGGTATCAATTCTTTAATAAAGTATTTCTGATAAAGATTTACCTGATAATTTACTGAGTCAGTCTGTGAAATGTGAATTTCATGACAGAAATAAAATTACCTGTTTTCATTGTAAAATTTTCATAATCTCCTAAATGAATATCAATTTTTTTTTGTTACATTTTATATTTTATCTATAGATTTCTCTACACAAACAGCATACTTGACTGTAGGTCCTTGAGAGATGTCGTACAAGTATAATGAAGAGGATGGTAAATAAATTAACAGATCCTTCCTCTTCAGTGTTGACTGTGAATTTAGATTTTACTGATATTTACAGTTTAAACTATTATTCTTTTATTTAACATATTTTCTGTTTTGTTTTTGGAGGGGGAGTAACCTCCCCGAATAATAAAACATGAAGTTAGAGCTATTTCTTGCAAACTGTGATACCAGACCTGGGAACCATGTAAAGCTCTTAGTCATATCTCAGTAATGAGATAAGCTTGGTGGAAAATGTACATTATTGCTTAGCAATATCTAGTATTAATAATTTGTTCCAAACTCGGGAGATCAATTGGTTGAATGTAAAATGGGTAATTTAGCACACTAATGGGTCATGGAGTAAAGAGAGGTGAAGTGTGAGATATGAAATATTTACTGTTGAAATTAAAACTCCTAGGGTATTAAAATTTTAATTATAAACTACGTGTGGATACTAAATGTATTGACATACAATCATAATATAGTTGTGAAAAAGGATCATGATATGCACAATTTATAGTTGAGTAGAAGGCGAACACATGTTCAGCAGACAGATGTATCATTTTATAGTAAAACTGGCCTACAGAGTATAAATCTGTAAATTAGTATACCAGTATTTTGTCAAATAGAATGATATTTTGATTATATATTACCTATATGTGTTTGTGTGTGTATATAAATACTTAAAATGTATTTATTTTATGTTGAAACGTGTGACATGAACTGAAAAATGTACATAGAAATCTATGATTTCTAGTACGTATGATGTAACAAAATTACACTTGAGAGATGAGATGTGGCTGCTATCTCTCACACTAAGCCTTTTTCATTCTATCAAACTGAGACAAAATCAAATTAATTTTTTAAAATTCTAAATGTGCTTTTTTAGGAAACAAAGACATTATTACTCACTAGAATGGGACACAAAAGAACTGTTTTAATTTATCTTTCTTTCTAATTAAGGTACAAATAGGTTAAAAAATATTTGTTCAGAGCAATGATTCTAGTGAACACACTTGAACGTTTTGTAGTGAATTTTGGCTTTCCTCGTCATAAAACTGACGAACAACTATCAGGTTTACATTGTTCAGAATGTGCTCTTTCTGTTGGTTATAAATAAATACTAAGGGCAGGTAAATATGAATAAATAAGGGGCTTCTCTCACAAGTGTGCTAAATATATGTTTATCTCAGCAAATGAAGAATGTGGGGGGTTCTTATTTTATATTCTAGCTTGTTAGTATACAAAGTGTTTTTAATTGGTTAAGCACTGTTGACATTTTATGGTAGAAGCAATAAAATGTTAATTGAACAACTTACAGCATGAACATATCATGTGACATATTGGTGAGTACTGAGCAATGTTTTAAAAATATTTCCTTTGAATTAAGAATTTAATATATATTAAGATATAATTTATCAACTACGTTTTGATGCTAAGTTTATTGATGATGAAGTCATCGACCTAAATTTTGGATACAACTCTAAAAAACATTTTGACACCAATTTTAAAATAATAATATCATGCTGACTTGTTCTCATTGATTCTGGGCATGTTGCTACTTTTTACAGAATTACTTTCAAAATTTAATGAAACAACTTTGTTATTAATGTATATCACTGTAATTAGCTCGAGAATGTAGTTTATAATTATTTTTTTATTATCTAATCTTTAATTTCTTAATATCAAAAGAATATATTAAAATAGAATCTTATCTTCATTTTTGTTGTCACGTGACATGGGAATATTCACAATTCCCCATTTATTTAGAATATAACTCCAGAAGCCCAGCATGTACACTGTTTGTATTATTTTAGACACAATCAATAAACACTTCCAAGGTCAAATATACAGTTTCAACACTTAACTCTATCACCACGGGTATCCTTTACTGCACATGACACAAGGTTTTAGTGTCTTACATACAAAATTTTATTAAACTACTTTTTAGTTATGTTATACCAATTAGTATAGCGTAAAATCTTAGCTAATAATCTATATTTTAATAGTATATAAGTTTTAAATTCTTAATTCTATAAGGCAATATGAAAAAAATCCTAAATTTCCCCTAGTGTGACACATTTTTTTCTTGGTATCTCCTCTATTTTATCCATCACCCTCTCCAAAAAGTACGAAATTCAATGTAAATTACTCACTATAAAATCATCATTGCTCAAACAAACCATAATTTTTATAGTCCTCAAGTTTGTTTGGTTACAGAGCTATCATATAGAAAATCAAACCGTTCCTGCTACACACATCTATCCATTTTCTCTTTCAGGATTTGTCAGTAGTTCTCGCTTATATTTAATACTATATTATTTTTAACCAATAGAAAGCCAAGGTTTTTATCTATCAAACGATGTATTATATTACATTGTGTTCTGAACAGAACGGGAATCACAACTGCCAGTTTGGATAAATTTGTAACGGCTATTGTTGCATAATTAGAAAGCCAGAGAAATTGTGGTTGTTAGAGGAAATTGTCTGCTTTTTGTATGTTATTAGTCTATATTCTTTGGTGCATTGTTTAGTTAAATAAAAATTATTTAGTGCATTACTACCATTAGTATAAAAAAAGGAGAGTTAAGTGTCATCGACAATTGACAGCAAAAAAAGAATATTCGGGCAAGTACTTTATTTCTTGTTTTTCGTTTTTATTCTTCATTTATTATTATAAAAGTAACTAAAATGTAAAAATAGGGATCTTTTTAGGTTAGTTAAGGTTAGATTAGGTAAAATAAAAATGTTTCATGGGGCATGCTTGTGAGCAGCTTGGAGTAGCTCGTGGGTAATGTAATTTGATAGCACAAATTTATCTATTTACTGATAAATCACTAATTTTTCCAACCTGACAAGAGGAGCCCCACCCATCTGTCCTTTACTTTCAAGGCAGTTTTCAAAATGTCATCTTATTTGACATATCTGTTTAAAACCATAAAAAGTGGTCCTTTTGAAATTGGAGGAAAATACATTGAGATATCTTGATTGTGTACTTTAGCTGTTAAGGAAGTTGAAGCTCATATCATGTAATAGTATTTTTAACCTAGTTATATTGTAATCAGAAAGACTGTTACATTATAGTTGGTTTTGGACATTCTAGTGAACTTTTTATTATTAAGTTTTAAAATACATATTGTAAAGATGAAATATTGTCAGGCAAGAAATTAAAGAAAATCTTATCAAGGCTTAAGCTCACTTAGGAATGAGTTCAGAACTTTGAGTACGGCTGCAGCATGAAAGAGTATTGGATTCTGGTAATTTGTTACCCTTGTGGTGTTTCTGTTCTCTCATGAATGACCTGTATGCTGTACAAGCCAGGCATTAAAACTGGAAAATTAAACTATATTTGAAAAGGAGAATAGTTAAAATTGTGAATAACGTGAACTCCAATTGTGGAAAGAAATTATTTATGGAAAGAATTTAGTTAATTTTCAAAATTTCATTTCACTCAGCTCCAGTTAGAGTTATACAGAGAAAATAAAATACAATTTTTACCTTAACCCTTTCGAGACGGATTACGGATGAAAGGCCATGTCATCTCGTTTGTTGACTCACATTCAAAATTTTATTGAACTAGTATTTTATGAATGTATGTCAGTAAGTTTGTTATCAAACTGTAGATTATAATTAAAATTTTAGTACTATATATTACTCAGTCTGTTAATTTAAAAGTTAATATTAAAATATCACAGTTAAACATTGATTTTTCTGTGTCACGTGGTATGTTGAATGCAGCACTGGTTCAAATTAGATGTTTGTGAAGTCAAAATACTAAGTCTATAGTTTCATTAGAAACTCAAATTACTGATATTCACAAGCTAGAATATAAAATAAGAAGGTCTTAGCTTTTCTATTTGATAAGATATTGCTCATGTAATAAATCAAACACAGTGGCACCCCACCCACATTTTTCCCTTATATATACTTCTATATATGACATGAATTACCAATTGGAAGCTCAGAATGTTTCCGTAGTGGCTTTCTCAGCTATTTTAATGGGCTTTGTACCATTTCTTTCTTTTGACCCAATATTTCAACGAGGTAGGGTGTGTCTTTACTCTGCTCTAAATTTCATATTTTTTTAGACTAAAATACATCTTAGTTACTAAGCTTGATAAATTGTAGTGGAATTTATGGTATTAGTGTAGTAATTTATGATTTTTTAGTTATTCAAATGTATATATAAAAGCAGAGCAATCTACATCAAGCAGCAACTGAGTACAAAGGTCATAACTAGAAGAGATAATTGTTTGCTTTACTTCTTTAGTTAATGT